TGTTTTGGATGTTTTGAAATAATATGAGCAACAAAATATAGAAAAAAATTATATAGTTTAAGCATCCCGATTATTAATTGGTTTAAAATTAAAGCACGTGGTAATATTGACAGCACCATGTTAATTTAACAAATCACAACCTGTCTAACGTTGGATATTCGTTACTTTAATATGGTACTGACGATCTGTTATAAAAATAAATTGTAAATCTTCAAATAGTAAAAATATTAAAATAATTTAATTAGATAAAAATATTTTAATTAAACAAAATAACGAAAACGCAAATAACTCAATCAGTCTTAAGAGACGTAAAATGTAAGTAACTACATAAAAATATAAGTGTGTTTGTTAGTTAGTATTTATGAATATAGAAACTTGGTGAGTCAGTCGTGTGCCTCACGACACATTATAGATCTCTACGTTACATCCATCTATGTGCGTCAATACTCAGAAAGATCCTGGAATCGTATGTTGTGTAAACACACATGGTAAATTAATACATTGTCAACAAAGTTGAGTTTCGTTCAGGGGTAGAGAGCATATAAAATAAAAATATAAACTAAATAAGAGAAAAGAATATCTTTACAAAACAATGACAAATTAAAATTCAGATATATAAATTATAATTATCTTTCAAATTAACGTCAACATTTAAACTTATATGTGAGTTCAAAAAAAGAGATCATCACCATCATCATATTCCCGATCCCAATATCGCAACGCTGTATCTTGTAGAGCTTGGACCAGGTTTCCCTTTCTTGAGCCAACTCTCTTCTCTTACTCCAATCCATACCTCGCTTCCTGAACGCCTCTTATACACTGTCTTCCCAGGATATACGTGGTCTTCCTCTAGGCCTCCTTCCCTTTACACGGGTCTCGTATGTCTTCCTGGCTATCCTCTCTTCTAAGAAGATGTCCGAACCATCTTAGCTTGTGCTCCTCTAGGATGTTGATGAAGAGGTGAGTAAAAGAATCGGGGAAGCTGGCTATGTGTTCTATCTTCTCCGGAGGGGACTTCTGGGCAGAAGAGAGGTAACGAAGCGAACTAAAGTAGCAGTCTACAAATCGACATTTCTCTGTATCCTTTCGTACTCCTCTGAATCGTGGACCCTCGCCTCGAAACACAGAAGTCGAATTCAAGGCATGGAGATGCGATACCGGTCAGAAAGTTGGAGGTCACCTTGACGATGTTTTCTCATATATATGTTGATAGGCTGGGCCGGTGAGGTTGGCACGGGTGGTACGTCTTCAATCAGAAGATATCAAAATAACTTCAACAGTTATCGATGAACATGAAAATGTTTATAGTCGGCTCTTATATTTTCTAACAGATAAACACCACAAATAGTGTTGCTCAAAATCAGTCTTGGTCTTGCTCTTTGCAATACTAAGACCAGGACTAGTGAAAAAAACTGTTTTTTGAATAAAAATAAAGAGAAATTAGTTACTAATACTTGACAATCTTAGTTAGTATACGTTAATAATTGGTATAACCAATATACTTTTGCATTTAAAACTTCTAATTTTTCATTCAGGCTTAGTTTTGTTTCTACTATCTAAAAAATTACAGTAATATCTCTATAGTAATAAGCTAATAAGTTATTGCAAGACTGTTGCGAAACTCTTGCGCAAGACAAAGATCATGACCAAGACTGAGTTTGAAAGACCAAGACTCGTCTCGGTCCCGCATTTGGGTAACACTAACCACAACAAATCCTTTGACTTGAAAAAATTGTTATTTCTATCTATCATATACTCCGGGTTAACATTATATTTTTTTTCTTAAATACAAACATTAAAGAATCGGCAAGGAAGAGTAAGAAATGTCTATATAAGCGAGAGATTGTAAATAATAATTAAAGACTCAGGTAGTATGGTCATGTGACAGAAATGAGCGACGATAGGATACCAAAAATAATTATGTATTGGGAGGAAGAGACTAGAAGAAGGAGAGGAAGATCCTCAGTAAGATGGAAGGATAGAGTGGTGCAGAGTATGGCTGGTAGGGGAATGGCGGAGGAGGGTACGATGGACCGGCAGAGATGGAGAGACGTGCTGAAGCAGGAGTTTGGTTCAGAAACACTTCATATTGTAGAAACGCCTTAATACAAAAAAAACATTAAAATATAATTAATAAATATATAATTCTGGCCTTAACAATGTTATATTTTTTTTTAACATTGTCATATTACGAAGTTATACAACGAAACACAACCCTTTACCAAGACTTAACATCTAGATGACTTTTTCTAAGAAATTACAAGGAATGGGTTCTTCCAACGAGGTCTTCTGAGATGCGAATGTAATTTGATGTCTTATCCTTACATATACGCATTAAGGAAATTCCTATTGGAGAAGTTGTAAACTTAACATTGTCTGAAGAAGACTAATTACCAGGCGCTAAAATTAAGCGGGGCTCGGGTTGAATGAAGCGCTGGCGAGTGTAAAAGTCAAACCCGACTAGAAACAATATATATGCTAATTAAAAGGGTAGCTTCCCCCCCCTCCTTCGAGGGACTTCATTTAACACGTCAACTTGCTGTTGATTCTTCTCTCAACTCCCACCAACTCCTCATCTTGATTCCATCTCTTTGTTTGGAAGCTTCTTGGATTACATGGGGGCCGGAGGGTATTGAAATTAGTGAAATGGAAAATACGGGATGGAGTTCACTACTTCATTCCCGAACTACCTGATACTGAAGGAGTATGATAATCTAACGAAGCTATATTTTTGAAATTATTAATCAGTCTACCATACCCAAGAAATTATTTATGATTGGACATAAACAAGAGGTTGTTGAAATTTATTGCATAGGAGAGGTACTGGAAATGGTGGAAGGCTAAACATATCTAGGTGCAGTAATAAACATGAACGGTAGTCTCGACCATGAAATTTCTAACAGGATTAAAAAGGCCAATGATGTGTATTACAGTTTATGCAATAAAATTATTGGAAAAATATAGGTAGAGAAGAATGTAAAAATACATATTTTTAAAGCGGTATATCTACCAACCCTTATATATGGGAGTGAAAGCTGGGTCCTATTCACTAAACACCTTAGCAGAATTACTGCTAATGAAATGAAATATCTTGGAAGGGTAGCCGGCAGAATCAGGAGAGACCGGATCAGGAATGAAAAAATAAGAGAGGATCTAGGAACTATCCCACTGAAGGATTTTATAGAATAGAGAGAGCTGAGATGATTTGTGCATATATGCCGAATGAATCAAGACTGGGACCAACGAAAATTCATAGATGCGAGACCTATAGGAAAGCGCCCAAGAGGAAGAAATAGATTGTCGTGGATGGAATACATCTCCCATATCGGGCAGAAAAGAGGTATGAGGATAGGGGATATGAGGGCTCTAGTTCAGGACCGAAATGCTTCAGATTCAATGATCGAGGTACATCTACGCTGGAAGGTAAAAAGGAGGTAAACAAAGAAGAAGATAGGACATAAACAAAATTATTTTGAAATAACCATATAAGATAAAGTAAACAAGAAATAATAACCGAAGAAGGTTTTTGAAATACAAACCGATTCATTCTTCAACCCGATAAAGGAACAGTTGTCAATTTTAAAGAGCCCTGCGTTTGCTTCAGAAAATTCTCTCCACCGCTTGCGTTACTATAGTATTCTCCCCTCCCCCCCTCTCTCATCTTCCTCTTTCTTTGTCACATGCACATACAAACACACTCACTGATCTATATAACAAATTATTTCAAATCAATTTAATTTCATTGTGAAGGGAAAAAAATTAAAAAAACAAAAGAAAATCAAGAAATCTCATAATGCAATATCTCAATTGAATGACAGAATTTTTCATTGAGTATTTATACAATAACATACAACAAAAGTATCCAAGCTCATTAAAAAGATATTTACGGCTTGATACTTGACACCCTCAGCTTCCAAGGAGGCTGGCCTTGGCAAAATATGTATTATAGATACAATAATATAAACTAAAACTAATGTTAATAAATGTAATATAAATGCTAATAAATACAGAAACAAAATATATCAAATCTTAATATCACAATTATAAATACACAATAAAATTTTAATATATACAAATACATACAAATATAATAATAAATACATACAAATTTTTAATGTAGATATTTTATTATAATTACATAAATATTTTTTTCGGCGAAGACATTATTCAGCAATTAATAATTAAATTCTTGGCATAAGGCATATCTGTATTGCCAGGCTGCTTTACAATAATAGGATAGATGTAACCAATTTATTCCATTCAAATGTGCAATTATTTCCCCAAATGTCAGGCCAAATATCTATAATATTCCCCAAATATCTTTTCCAAAATATTTTCTCCTAACTTTCGTCAGAACAGGACATTCACCAAGGAAATGCGTGATATTTTCTATTTCATTCATATTGCATAAAGAACATAATTTATTATTTGTTTCGTAACATACCCAACAGTTTAATTTTATTAATTCTCCTCTGGCCTTAAATATCCATTTTATTATAGTTTCATTGTATTTGTATTGTTTCCTGATATATCACGACTCAAATCTTTGGATATATTAGTTCTATTTGAAATTTTTGCTAGGGTTTTCAACCTATTTAATAATTCTATTGTTAGTTTATCTCTTACTTTCTGAAAACGCACATTCCATTTATTTGTGTTATTATAATCAAAATTTATTTGGTATTGATTTGTTAAACGTTTTATCTCTTTATACCAGCCTATTTCTTTTTTTAATTATTTCGTTTGCTATTATTTTGGATAACCTATTATCCGAATACTGCATAACTATACATACATAATTATGGAACGCTTTTATATTTTCTCAATTGATTAATTTACTTCTTGTACCATAATAAATTAAATATTAAATCAGGAAACGTAGGTAATTTTGTAGAACTGCTGTTAAGAGACCTTTTCACGAAGCCGACCCGTGAAGGCCCATGAAAACATTCTCCCTTTGAGCAAATACAACGCCTCATACGTGAGATTATTTCTGTCAGTGGAAGGCCGCAGATTCCCATGACGAGATCGACTCCGGTGACAGCGATCGAGGCGTGGGAGGAGAAAACGATTGAAGAAGCTTCGCGGAGGTGTGGCGAAACGTCTGGGTATGGCAGCTTTGTCGTGTTTGCTCTAGGGTACGTGACGTGGTCAGGCTTTGAGCTGCTCGTCGTATGTCTTCAGCACAGTCGGCTAACGAGCTTTATTATCGAGAGTTATGGAATGGACTTAATCCGTAACAGATAATAATAATGACATTAATTCCACATTTATTTTAATAGTTGAGTTTATCGGTTGTGCCAATCGGTGAATCGTGTATTTAAAATTTTCATAACTCAAAGGAAAAATGACAAAGCTATCCCTAGATGACTAAACTCATGTTATGTACACTTCAAAAATTATTATACCTACCCTCCCATCTTTTCAAATTACCCGTAAAACAGTATTAAAATAATCTATCACTCACCTGAAGTTAATCAGCAGCCTGCTTATATTTTGGTTCTCAAGTTCAAAATATATACTTTTTTTTTTTAATTAAAATAAAATTCGACCTAATCATGACAAATCCAAACATATAACATTTAATCTTCGAAAAAACACCTGCCATCTAGTTTATATTGACAACAATGAAATTCCTCAAACGGACACTGTACCAACTTTATCATGGACTCATCTTCGACAGAAGGATGACATGTGGTTTTTCAAGAGACTTCAAAACGTTATGTTTATGGTTGAAATATCTTTCAAAAATGAACTGAAATGGAGCTGGATGTGAGATTTGTGCTGATTTAAGGATGTAAATAAAAACCTTTCTCCAGCCTTAAATTTCACTACCTAATTCAACTATTGATTTTCTGATTGTTACATCCATGACAGGGGCTTAAAAAGGTATAAAGATACAAAATCAATGTTAAATATTTTGGTTTTAATTATTTTCACATCCAATCTTGGCAGAAGTTCTCCAAGGTTCAATACTATCCCCTCTACTTTACGTTACATACACTTACGATATACTTATTAACGATGATATCTTGACAGCTACTTATGCAGACGACACAACAATTCTCAAAAAACATCAAGACCCTACATAGGCCTCAACACTACAACATCACTTATTTAAATTGGATTCACATTCAAAGATTGGTTCACACTATGGATAATTCGACTTAATCATGACAAATCCAAACATACAACATTTACTCTTCGAAAAGACACCTGCCCTCCAGTTTATATTGACAACAATCAAATTCCTCAAACGGAAACGGTACTTTACCCTGGATTCACCTTCGATTGTGGATATTGTATGAAGGATGACATGGGGCCCGCACGTTCAAATGAAACGTAAGACACTTAACAAACGACTCAAACTACTTTACTCTCTTTTTCTCAATCTTCAAAACTAAAACTAAAACAGAAACTGAACACATATACATACTTACTTAAGCCCATCGCTAAAAAGACCAACCTACAAAAACTTCAATCGTTCCAATCAAAATTATTGCGACTCATAACAAAAGCACCTTGGTACGTGACTAACAAAACTCTGCGTACTGACCTCCAGTTTCCAACAGTTGACCAACATATAACGACTGTTTATCAACTATTTTACACAAATTTAAATGGACATAATAACAGAGTAATAAGAGACATGGTGACAGCTGACATACTCCAGAACATGAGGAGGAGACTAAAAAGGCGTTGGATGAGAGATCTCCTTCCTCAAACAACCTAAGTAATTGGAACAAGTTAGGGAAGAGGTACTGCGGAGTGCTTTCTTTTCCCATGCATGTCATTTCATGTATCGCCATCACATTTGCTGATTGTCAACAATAAGTTGACAGGCGCAAAAACATCTTTTATAGACAAAAAAAAAAAATTATATCCGCTCCCTGGTAAAAATAAATAAAACTCATTTTATTTATTCGTGGCCTTTTATTATTCCATTTATTATTTTTAAAATTCTATTTGGTAATGAATCGTACAATTGTTTGGATGCTTTTTTGCCAGAATTGCAGATTTCAAATCTCTTACTGCAATTCTTCCGAACTGCCTTGACTCAGAGTACACCCTTCTTGAAAGAGTTCCCCAAAATACTTTCGATAAAGTTCAGGTCTGGGGAGACAGCAGGCCAGTCGAATTTTGCAATTTTGTTACGAATAAACCAGTCTTTAATATTTTTTGCTGAATACATTGGGGCGTTATCTTACCTTCAGACATGTCATTAAAATTCAACTAATTCCTCTAAAAAAATTTTATATTCATCTGAGTTTACTCTTGATGAAACAAATACCGAATTTCCTTACTTTTTGTAACCAATTGATGCCCATAACTTTTTCTCCTCACATTTGACGCCTTTATAAAAATGTTTCTTCTTTTCTTAAGTCATGAAAATAATACAAAAATTCATTTCGCCCATACGGATTGATTTTTGTTTCTTGACTAAAGATGACTTTCTTCCATTCCTCAGTACATGAAATCACATTACAAGCAAAGGCCATCCGTGCTAATTTGGGATGGATACTCAAAATTGGCTATTAAATTCTTTTCTAACTAATGATTTTGACTTTTTAATAATCTTTGGACATACCTTAGTTCTGTTTGACCTCCAGCTTCTTCCTTTTTTTTTTTTTTTTTTTCTTCTCCCTTTCTTCGTCGTTAAGGCTTTTACGGGGTTTCATATATTCCTCCGAGCCGAATAAACATCGCGACCAATGGAAAATTCCGCTTGATTTCCGAGCTATATTCCTATAACTCATCTCGTCCTTGTGGACTAGAGAAATCAAACGGCGCTCTTCATCGGAGTAACACTTATTTTTTCCCACAACTCATGTTCTTTTTAGGTCAATTTTGAAAAAAATTCAACACTGCACTGAAGTAAAAATGGTATTTTAACGATTTCTACTATAAGGGATAAAGAAAATAGTAAACAAAAACAAGTGTGTCTATCATTTTGAAGCATATAAAATGTCAATATTTATTGATTTTGGATTTAAATAATCCTCACGGTCTGAGAAGATTGTCCCCATTTAAATATCATAATTTATGCTTTAAACTGTGCTTAAAAAAATAATATCAATCAAAAATAAAGAAAACGTGAATTTTTTTTTTTTCCATGGCCGTGTCTTAACTTTTTGACATAAGCATAAGATTATCAATTGTTAATAACTTCTCATAATTCCAGTACTTTTCCAGGTTTTCTAGACCTCCCAGAATTTCTTGATCACTCAACTATTCCCGGGTATATTACCCAAATCACTCAGGCAGTTACATAAGTCACATAGTTGCCAGGAGACTTAGATCCATGATCTCCTGATACTCTTGTAGGAGACCTGGAGTGAACTCTTGTAGCCAACCCATATAGTTCTAGAATAATTATGAATGTTAAGATGCCGTAACAAATATCGTAAACAAAAGTGTTACTTCTAAATTACTGCCTCCGATTCGTTATCTGAGGAACAGATAGATAGTACTACAACAGAAAATTGTATATTATTTTAATAAATCTTATAGCATTCATATACAGTCAGTCTATTTGAGGGCTACAAAAGATACAAACTAGAAATATTAATTTGTTGTTACAAGGTAAAAAAAAAGAAATGAATTAACAGTAGATATTAAACAAGTTCAGATTACCAAATATAGAAATTAAAAAACTTATATGATGACAAAATTGATGTATGATATATATTATCGTTGGAATATAATTTATTATATATATTTATATATATATATATTGTACTTTTATACATATATTATATAGGTGTGTGTATATATATATATATATATATATATATATATATATATATATATATATATATATATGTATATATTTTTAATTATTAATATAATGGACTATACAAAAAATAAAAGTGAATTTAGCATCGTAAAGATACATAAACAGAGAATGCTAGAAGGTATAATATTTGAGAAAAAAATTTAGGGAAACTATTTATCTAATTTATTAATAAAACTAGTCTAGCTTATGTACTTTGGCGTTCAATTTCGATTTCAACAACAGAAACGTAATTCATAATTTCATATATTTAGCAATTTAACTGTGTAATATTTCATTTCAACTAAATGTCAAAAGCAGGTTTAATAAGTTCTGCCTAATGAATTCGCTAAATTAATTAATAATTAACAATGAATACGATTTTTTTTTTATTTGTTTATGAAGTAGACTTTTATCGTGAGAAGAGCTTATATTAATTACTAGTAGGCCCGTGCGAAAAATTCGCACAGCATATTGTTATCAAATGCCAAATTAATAAGAAAAGAAAATAATGCAACGTATCAAAAGATAAAGGATTCAATTGTTACTTGATCCATAAATATAATTGACAAAGGGAACAAAATTAATTTAAATCTTCATTTTTGTTTGGAACCAACATATTTACAAATTTCAATATGCTGTATCTATGCGAAAAGTTGTCCGATTTCAATAATTTTTTTTTCCTTTTGTAGACAATTAGTAATGTTTTATATATTCATGGGTATAACCCAGGGAAAAGTGTGTAATTTTTTAGTTATTCGCTAATAAAGTTTGTTTTATTTCATAACTTGTTTGCCTGAATTTTCGGGGTGATTGGACTATTTTGCCCGCCTGAAGGAGAAGGAAGCCTTCGAAATTGGTGGCTCAATCTTGAGTCAATCTTAATCAAATACCATACCCCATTCATGGTATTTGAGCATGATAGGAGCTTATATTTGGTACAAAACCGATTTCGAGCCTTGCTGTAATAATATATGGGTGGATTAATTAAATAATAATTAGGTTCTGGATTGGGCCAAATTGGAAACATATGGTACATTAAGGTCTTTATGGATGATTTTATTTGTGACTGAAGATTGAAAATGCGGTATCACGGGATGGACGTGATTTACCTTTTAGGCAAGAAACACACATTTCTGCACATTATCATTGTAGTTCATTCTGAAGGCCGTCAGATTTAAACCCTTAGGTTTTCGAAAATCGGGTAAGGAATGCCTAAAACTGAGGCATACGGATGTTTTACATTTTCCTGTTTTGCTATTAAAAAATAAATAAAATACATTGTTTGACATATATATTTTG